GCCTGCGACGCCACCTAGGGGCGTCCAGAGTATCTGCAGCGCGGTGGGGTGGGCCACGCTCCGTGCTGCCCCTGATGGTGGCCTCGGGGAGTGCGCTCTTCCTCTGCAAATCGGTGGTTGCCTAGTGACTTGCTCAGAGGACACGGGGAAGTCTTCTTCACTGGCGGGTCATCTTTGCCCTTGTCCCATCTGTCCGCCATGCGGACAGGTCATCACCCCTCTCCTGAGCTGAGATCCCCTTCTCTATCAGGAGGTCTCTTCCGGAGTCCCAGAACAAAAACCTAGGGAGTGTGGGCCAGGGGTGTAAAAGGGAAGAAGGAAGGGCCTTGGCGGAGCCTCCAAGAAACCCCTGATCTCTGCTTGATGGTCTGCACATAGTCTTGGGCACAGAGGAAAAGCAGAACGGCTGTGGGCAGCCAGGACTTGCTGATTTGTTCCTTCAGTCAACCAGCGTTTACAGAGTCTCCCCTGGGCAGTCCGGGCACATGGTGGGAAAGGAGATTCACAAGAACCAGACCTGCCTGTAATGTTGGAAGTGGCTGGTCCGGGTTATGAATGAACTCCTATGTGACAGGACAGGTCATAGATCTTTCACAGGGTCCCCCCCATCCCCACCCACGGCAGGTCCGGGAGCACCTGGCTGCCTATTCTGCTTGGCCCTTTCCAAGCTCTCGGGACCTGTCCCTAATTCTCCTGGATTCTTGAACCAGGTGATTTGGAAGAAAGAAGTAAATGCCTTCAACATCCAAAGAAACATATTTATGAGGGCAGAGAGCAGTGGAGACTTGGTCTTCAAATGCTAGCATCCTAGGTGGCCGCTGGTTGTGTATGCTTGGGCCAGTCTGATTCGAAATGTCAAATGCAGCCCAGAGAACCCCAAGTTCCTGGACCCGGGCCACGCCTTCCCTCGGGCTTCAGTCTTTTCAGATGTGCTTGTAGGCACTCCTGGGATCCACAGTTTCTCATTGCCATGTCAGGTGTCAGACCAGGGGCTTTGTGAGAAGCTGCATCCTGCCCAGAGGGACACACCTCTCTCGGGATGGTGCAGCTGGGACAGATGAGGAGTCCTGATTGGCCCAAGGCACTATCTCCTGAGCAGTGATTGGTGACTCCCAAAGGCAACTGGAGCCGAGGGCTGCCACCTCCACCCTGCCCCTTGTCACCAAAGGCCTCCTCTCTCCTCCCAATGGACCAAGAGGGTTTCTGAGTGGCCCACTGGACGCCTAAGGAACTTGCCAGGGCACTGACCACCGCTACGGCTCCAGGTCCACGTACAGCCCAGGCTGCTGGGCCAACCCCTCCTCGGGGCCCAGCGCCCTGCACGTGCCCAGGCCACCCACCAAGCTGAGCGGACCCTCAGCCTCTCAGGGACTCCTTCCACCATCTCTGCCCCCTCTGGCCATCTGCTGGGCCTCTTGGGAGTGGCCTGACATTTGACATGATGGTGTCAGGGGACGTCTTGTTCTGGGAAACAGCCGTTGCCTTGAGGGAGTGGAGGAGATGGCCAGGCAGAGTGCTGGGTGAGGAGCAGGGATCCAGCTGCTGCCACCGTGTGGCCTCTGGCCAGTCCTTGCCCTTCTGGTCCCAGCCTCCACCGAGAATGGAAGCTCCGGGTCTCGTGATCACTCAGGACCTCCCATGTTAGGGACTCATCACTTCGGGAGGGGGTGCGAGGGTGGGGAAACCCACGATTCTGTGTTGGGCAGGAGCTTCCACAGAGTTTGGGGACAGGAGAAGCAAGCAGAGAGCATTTATGGGTGTCCCCAGCTTCGTGCTGCCAGGGTAATAATACTTGAGCACAAAGACGGTGTGGCGGGAAAAAGCCACAGCGAGGGGCACCTGGGTGGCTCAGATGGTTAAGCGTCTGCCTTCAGCTTAGGTCCTGATCCCAGGGTCCCCACATCGGGCTCCCTGGGGAGCCTGCTTCTCCCTTTCCCTCTACTGTTGCCCCTGCTTGTGCTCTCTCGCCTTGTCAAATAAATAAATAAAATCTTAAAAAAAAAAAAAAAAAAGGCCACAGCGAAGATCCAAGTGCCCACTGACCTGATCCAAGATTTAGCTGGTGCCTCCAGAGCTGCAGCATCCACCAAGCCCATCGGTCCTTCCCGCCACTCTCCCTGTCCCCAGGAGCCTGCTTGGCACAGGGGATGAACTTACAGCTGGTGGGGTGGCGCGGCCTGTAATGTCCCATCCTGGGGGCACCAGGCGCCATGCCCTGCCCAGGTAGGAGGCAGAACACAGGCACAGGTTAAGAAGGATGGAAGATGTGTCCCTCGTGGTCTTCCAGCCTCAAAGACCTCCCTACTGGAAGGGCCAGGCCGAGGGCTCACAGGTGTGGAGAGTGACAGCCTCACGGCAGCCCAGTGCCTTCGCTCTACGAACAGCGGGACTGGCCCAGAGAGCCAGGGCGCGGGGCTCACCCAAGGCCACTCAGTGGGTCTCTGCCTCCTGGCTCGGGGCTCCCTCAGCAAACCTGGGTCCTACCGCCGAGTCCCTGCACCCACTGGGGAACCACCTCCACCCTACCTGGGAGAGCTGGCCGTCCCTGCCCGCGATACTGGGGTCACGGGGAAAGCAAGAGGGGCACGAGGGTCTACCCCGGAGCCCTCCGCAGCCCTGCTGGGGGGAAGCACGAGGCCAGGCGCTGGCTATGCCAAACCCCTTGGCCCTTCGCTGGCACACCTAGCTTCACCTGCTGGCCGAGCCAGCCCGGGGACAGGGGAGCAGGGCAGCATGTGGGCTTCTGGTACAGTGGAAGGCAAACAGCACCACGGCTCCTGGCACAGCCCTGTGGACTTTGCCCAGGCTTGGCGGTAGGACAGACCCAGGATTCAGTGTCTGCCGCTGCCTGTGAACCTGGCAGCCCTGGGCTGAGACGGCATGGGCGTCTCCCCAGGTTGTGGGGACCAAATGAGCCGCTGAGCTGGACCCAGGGGCCACAGGATGGAAGCATAGGTCTCCAGGACTTTCCAAAGCCCCTTCTGAGAGTCTCCTTGCCCCCCAGCGCTCTGTGCACTGACCAGAAAATTGTGAGCAGACAGCTGGTCCCAGGAGGAACTAGGAACAGAGATGGGGGATGGGGAGGTCAGGAATGTGCTCCCCCTTGTTGCCCTGCAGAGACCTTCCAGAAAGCCTCCTTTGGCTCCGGTGGCCATGTGTGGTTGGGTTTGTGTGAATGCACTTCAGGGAAGGGGAGAGAAGTTCTCTCCTGAGCGGAGGCAGCAAGGGATGCGGGTAGGGTGACTGCAGTTGGGGAGGGGACAGCAAAAAGCCTGCCTCTACCAGCATGGGTCTCCTCCCTGGTGCCCTGACTACAAAGCCCCTTCCTCGGTCCCGACAGCCCGCCCAGCATTAACGTGCAATAAATGAGAATAAAATTACTTTTATTTCCAAAAAATGTAGGGGTGGGGAAGTGACATGGTAAAAATTAACATCAGTTCCCTATGGATCCATTCTGTCTCTAGGGAAGGACAGCTCTTAGGGCCCGTGTTCTTGGTGTGAGGGCCTCGGGGCGGGGGGGCCACGTTGCCATGGCAACCCACAGGTCTGTCACACAGGATGCGTCCCCCGTGGCTGGCCAGAGCTGGGGGATGACAACCTTCCCCCATAGGCCCCCACTTTGAGCTCCCCTCCCCTGAAGCTAAATATTGGTTAGTGGGTTAGATTTCCGAATGTAGCAGCCCCGGGTCCCTCCCTCCCGCTCACTCCCATCTCCTCCGCTGCCTGGCCTCCAGCCCTCAAACTTCTTGTTGCCGTTTTCACTGGGCCCTCAGCATATCTCCCTCCCAAACCCCCAGATCCTCAGGGTCATCTCCTCTGGCACTGCCTCCCCCTGGGCACCTGCTGCCCTCTCGACAGCAGCGGCCCCTGCAGCCCCCACAGTCGGGGTCCCTGTGGCCTCTGTGAGTGAGCCGGGGGGGCTCAGCCCACGGCGGGGCCTAGAGAGGCAGGTGGTAAAAGGTTCTGACAAGGCCCAGCCCTGTTGTCGCTCGCCCTGTCAGAGTGTATCTATAACGAAAGGTTAAAAAAAAAACCAAGAGGACAGGAGAGAGCAGAAGACAGTGTGAGCACGTCCACACTGGCAGTCCCAGCATGGGGAGGGGCTGTGAGGCGCCCTCCTGCAGCTTGAAGGGCTCAAGGCCACTCGGCCAAGCAGCTAGAGACTGGCTGGCACTGCCTGGCAGGTAACGGAGCACTTCGGAGAAGGGTCCAATCGCTCCAGAATCTTAGGTCTCCCAGCCCCATCAAACATCTGAAGGGGATGTGGCGGGTGGGGCAGGGCTGAGCCAACAGGCTGGCTGATCCTCTGACTGGGCCATGGCCTTGGCCAAGCCCACCTTCAGGATGGCCGCCTTGGCCCCCAGGTCCCAGGCTGTGGAGCTGGGGAGACATGGCAGATGGTGGGATGGAACAGCACAAGCCTCGGGTCAGAGGGCTCCCCTGGGGCGAGGACACTTGCCTGGGCCCCGAGGTCTGAGCCGGCAGTGCTGCAGGCAAAGGGAGCCGGGGTCAGGGCCAGGACCCTGGACATCTGAAGAGAGGGGGTGCCAGCAGGGAGGCCCCGAGCCCCGGTCCCAGTGTGGGCCGGGAGGGGGCCGGGTGCATCAAGCACACACTCCCTAACCCAAGCATGGGGCCGGGGCCAGGGCCAGTGGGGCCATGTCAGAGGGCAGGGCCAAGCCTGCAGACCAGGGTGCCGTGGTGCCCAGCTAGGACCCCAGGTCCCCCACGGACCTCAGGAGTATCGGAGGAAGACAAGGCGGTGTGAGGCCTAAAGGCCAGGCAGCAAGAGGGGGTGTTACAGGCCGTATCTGTGGACCTCTGGTCTGGCAGAAGTTGGGGGCTGGGACAGAGCACCTCTCTCTGTTCCTGGGGGTGGGAGCTGGGAGAAGGTGAGGGGCCACCTGATAGAGGGTGGTCCCATGAGGGAGGGTGTCAGAAAGAGAAGCAAAGTGAAAGTGGAGAGAAAAACAGGAGAAAGACCAAAAATGGGATCCCCAAGCCAGCATGTACCCCAACCTCGTGGACACCCCTCAGAACAAAAGCCCACCCCTCCCTGTGGCCAGCACTCCCACCTGCTCCCCCTTCCCCGTGGGTGCCCCCAGGGCTGTTGCTTCATTTGTGGAGGTAGGCGTCCAGCCACAGCTCCCCGGACTTCTTCAGACACCTGGGAAGAGGAGGGGACCGTCAGGGGAGCCCTAGGGAGAGGGTGGCTGCAGAGGCCGCGCTGGGGGTGCGGTGCTTCTCAGCTCTCAGCGGGGCTGCAGGGTTGCCTGCTCAGGGCTCCCCAGGGAACCCCTTGAGGAAGGACAAAGGGAGGGTCCCCATCCAGCCCAGGGTGAAGCCAGGTCATTCCTAGTAAGGGAGGTGGCCTGGTGGGGACACTTAAGGCCAGGAGGGCTCATCCCCTCTGGTGGCTGTCAGTCCCCAACATGGGCAGTCCCAGCTGCATGCTTCTCGGTCTCTTCCTTGGGTCCCAGGAACCCCGCCCCCCCCCCCCCCCCCCCCCCCCCGCTTACCTGATGATGTCCAGCATGGCCCTCAGCAGCGGCTTCTCCTGGTACTTGATGCCGTGCTTGGCGCACAGAGACTTCACCAGCGGTGCGACTTTGTGGAAGTTGTGCCGAGGCATGGTGGGGAAGAGGCTGGGGAGAGCGAGGACAGGGTGAAGGCGCCCCCGCCTCTGCTCACAGCCCGCACAGACAGCAGCGGTCGGGGCCGGGGAGACCCTGTCCCCAGCTCTCCCTGTGCGGCCCCCCGCCCCTCCCCGGGAGACCGGTGCCCAGGGGCTGGGCGCGCTGGGCCTCTGTTTCCCTGTCAGTAAAGGGATCAATCCCCCGGCCCTGCTAGGCTTGCAGGATCAAGGGAGACCTCTGTAATTACAAAGCGTGGGCCACTCGGGAGGGGTGGCTGTCATAGGGCCGTGTGAGCCCCTCCCCCTGACCTCAGTGGGCTGGCTGCAGAGCCACGCTCGGGGCCTGGCCAGGGTGGAGAGGGAGGTAGCCCCCATGTGCTGCCGGTGCCCAGATGGGGCTGGTGACCTGCTCCCTCCCCCGGTGCCACCCACCTTCCCAGCGTGCCCGCCCGCCCGCGCTCACTGGTGCTCGATCTGGAAGTTGAGGTGCCCGCTGAACCAGTCATTGAAAAAGGACTGCTCCACGTTGCAGGTGGCTCCCAGCTGAGGAGGGAAGGGGTGAGAGGCCAGGAAAAGGGAGGATGAAAGCCTTCGTCTCCTCTCCATGAGGCCCACCCCTCCCTAACATCCCGCCCCACCTAGAGACCTCGGCCCGCCCAGATTCCCCGCCGGCCCCTCCCAGCAGAAGGCCCCAGGCAGCCCCAGGGAAGCCCAGTACAGCCCTGGGCCCACTAAGCAGCCAAGTGCTGGGGGCCGGGGAGATGGACCCACAGGCTCCACAGGGCCCCGGTGACCAGCTCTGGCTGCCCTCACCTGGCTGCTGAACCAGTCTCGGTAGGGCTCATGGTCAATCTCCATGACGAGGTGGTTCATCTGTGTGACCCACACAAACCAGTGGCTTTCCAGGAACCTGGAAGAGAGCACAGCTCAGCGCGGGAGCCACGGCAGTGGCCACGGGGCCCGGCCATGGTGGGAACAGACCCTCTCCCTCAGCCCCCAGACGGCCTGGGCAGGAAGTGGGGAGCTCGGAGCCCTTCCGCACAGGCCTTCCTGTCAAAGCCCTGTCAAGGCCAAGCGCGGGTACCTGATGAAGTTGAGGAAAAGGACGGCCCCCAGGATGCCATAGAAAGGGACGTAGGTGATGAAGAACCGGGCATAGTAGCTCACAGCCCAGGCCAAGTCCTGCAGAGAGAACGAGATTAGATACCGCACCACCACCCACCCCGGCACCACGTCCTGATCACCGATGTGCACACAGCCCTCCTACGCCCCGCGAGGCAAAGGTGTCCAAGAACCCCCAACAGGCCTCGAGGAAGTTGGGCACCAGGCCCACGGAGGATGTGATGCTTGCTTGCACAGGGTTGGTGACTGTCTTTGTTTCCAAGGAGATGCGGAGTGAGCAGCGGGAGGGGGCTGGGTGCTCTGCTTCAGGGAAACAGGGCAGGGACCAGGAGATGTCCGCCAGGAGCAGCCCTTTCATGGTCCCAGGGATTCTGAAGGTACATAGACCCCACCACCACCACCACCACCTGCCCTTTGGCCATGTCCTTCTTCCCCATCAGCACCTGGGATCTCTTTCCTGGCCAGGCAAAGGTCGATGATACTGTCCATCCTCTCCATGTGGCCCCCCCCAGCTACCTCTCACATGCTATAGGCGTCCCTCACCCCCGTGCCCAGTCCTCCTCCTGTCCCCCCTCCCTTCCTGCCCCTCGCTGGGGTGGCCACGGGATCCTGAGCTCGCAGGTCTCTCCTCACCTGGACAAGCGCTTCCCTTGGTTGCCCTGACTGCCCCACCCTCCATGGCAAACCTCCCGGCCAGGTGCTCTGTGGAGGGGGTCCCTCTCTCCCCACCATCCCTCTGCGACCCGAGGCTGCATGCCTCCACTGGGCCATAGCGGGAGCCTCCCGTTGGCCTCCCGCTCTCCCTCGGGTACCACGGCAACCAGAGCCACCTTCTTAGCCCCAAGCAGAACGTGCCGTTCCCACAGAGCTCGGTGGGACCAGGAAGCACCCTCTCTTGGGCCACCCTGACCCAGCTTATTCCTGCCTCGGGGCCCTCGCATGGTTTCCTCTCCCCCAGCACTTTTCCTCCCCAGAGCCTTGGCAGGGTAGCGATCCGAGCACAGGCACTGAGTCGGGCTGCCCGTGTGAGTCCCGGCTCCCCCGCTGACTCTGTGTGATTGCAGGTGATGTATTCAGCTGGGCCTCCGTGCCCCCATCTGCAGGCCGGGGAGAGACCTCCCACTGAAGCTGTCCGTGGGTTGGCCATGTATTGCAACAGTGAGTGTAGCCTGCAAGGAAAAGCTCTGAACGACTCTAACCCAGTCCCTTTGCGCTTTGTCGCCATGGAGATCTTCCCCTCGTGGGTGGTGACGCTGCCATCCTCAAAGCCCCACTCGCCTCCTTCCCCACTAGGGGATACAGGATGAGATCCAGCCCCTGGGTAGGGTGCATGGGCCCTCTGCACGCCAGCCCGCTGACCTGGCCCCGTGCAGCCAGTCTCCCGACCCACGTGCGCCCGGCCAGGCCAAGCTCTGTCACACTGCAGGGTCTCTTCCATCTGGGCCTCCTGCCCCCCTTGTCTGCTTGGCAAACTCATCCTCAAGTCTGCACGCAGTTAAGCTCCACAAACTCTGTGAATGCCTCCTCTCTATTTGAGGGCGGAGTTGGGTGCTGGGAGCCAAAGGAGGGCCTTCGGGAGCCCTGTGTCTGGAAGGACAGGCTTATAAAGAGATCCCTTCAATACTGTTTGGAAGGTGACAGAAGCAAGGGGAGCATGGGGGTGGTCCTGACCTGACGCTCAAATTTAGGAAAGGCCTCCATCGGGAGATGGACACGAAATGATGGGAGACCCAGAGCAAGGCCCACAGCCCCAAGGAGGAGATACAGATTCCAGAACGATCTAGGAGGCCTGGGCAGTTGCGTTTGGGGACCGCTTAGTCGTGAGGAATCCAGGCTGGTCCCCGCACGGGTGTCATCAGCTGAGGAGGGGAGCAGAGGGGAGCAGCTGGGAGGTCTGGGGGAAGGGAGAGTCTGGATGGGCGGCAGTGGGCCCTGGGCATGACCTGGGATCCAGCGAGGGGTCTTTAAGGGGGTGGGAGAAGCAAGCATTACAAGTTCTCCTCCTACATTTCATCACATTCAACTTCGTTTCTTTCACGTGTGTATGTAGTACAGCAGGAAACACATGTATATCCATGGGGCCGATCTTACTTCTTTTTGTGCAGAGCGACCCATGACCCCAGAACCACTGGTTTCAGGGATAGGGTGTGAAGCATATGTGGGGGGAATAGAGAGGTGGAGGAGAACCAGCAGAGGTGGGACTTGGAAGCTGACAGGGAGAATTTTAGGAGATTGGTTTGTGGTGTCGGATGCAGGACCTCCAGGGAGGGAGGCTGAGAAGCATCTCCAGGATATGGTCACCACCAACACTGCCAGGGGGCAAAAACCTCCCTCCTTGAGGCTCTCCGAGTGCATCAAGCCCTCTCCTCCACATGACTGGCGTCGGGGCCTGGATAAGCCCTCAGTGTGGGGGGCTGTGCCGTACCTGATACGATGCTCGGCAGCATCCCCGGCTGGATGCCCACCAGATGCCTGATGCCAGTAGCACCCAATCTCCCTTGCGTTGTGACAATCAAAAAGGTCTCCAGATATTGCCAACTGGCCCAAGAGAATTGCTCCTGTTGAGGACCACAGCCCCAAGCCAGGGCCGCACTTGGCACCTAAGCTCGCTGTTACCATAAATCAGAAAAGCGCAGCGCGGGACTCACCTCTGCCCCACGCAGTCACGGACCCCTGGGGGTGGGGGACACCGGATCTTATCTTCCCTGAATCCTCAGCACCAAGCACTGACTGCAGTCAGCTGCTTCAGAGAAGGAGCCTAAGGCTGGAGGCCTGTCCCTCCCACCCAGCTGGAGCCCTACTCCCCAGTAGGGTCAAGGGCAGGGCTGCCCAGACTCCCCACCACCGAGCGGAGGGCCCCGAAAGACCTGAGGGGCCCTATCAAATTTCCCTGGGTCTGCCATCTGATCCCATCCAGGCACAGTCTTATTTCCTCTCCTGTTGTCCTTACTGAGCACTTTGTCCCTTGGGGAACAAACACAGTAAAAAGAAAAGTATATATTCAGGCAGGAGTCATCTGCCATAACAGCTCATTAAATACGCCCAGCAGCACCACGAAACCCCACACAGCAGGGCTCAAACTCCTCTTCAGCTTGAGTGACTCCCTCCAGGCCCCAGGGAGCCCAGTGGAAGCAGTAGTTGCCATAGGCGAGAGATCTGGGCTCAAATTCCCATCGTGCAACCGACCCAGAAAGTCCGTCCCTCCGGCCCGTGTCACTTCACTCGTTAAGCCAGGGTCAAATGACATAACGAGGGTGGCGGTGCTGGGACATAGTAAGTACGGATGAAAGGCTCACTTCTGGAAAAATATCGTGTCCTAGAAGTGGGTGGTACAGGTTCTACCAACACAGGACTGGCAGAGACTTCCAGAGTCCTGCTGCCTCGCTCACCCCCACACCCCCGGCCCGGGGCTCCTGAGTCCCAGTCCTGGACATCAGCAGAATCAACAGGCATGGCCCCTTTGCCTGCAGTTTCAATGACAGAGGACAAGGCAGAGTACTCTGAAGCCCTGCAAACGCTATAGAAATATGAGGGACTGTTACTTGAGAGAGATTGGTAGCTGTAGTGGGGGGACAGTACAGCCTGACCCACCCCTTGGTGTCACCCTGGGCAAGTCCCCAAACTCTCAGAGTCCCAATATTTTCATTTATGAAACTGGACTAAGAAAAAAAACCAAAAAACCCGTGATCCTAAGTGACCCTCCACTTGGTCTCCAGGGCAGGGGGCCCTGCCCCTGTCCCCGCGAACCCCACTTTGCCGCAGACTCTGCCTATTGGTGACTACTCCATCCAGGTCATTCTGATCACCTTTTTATGCCGAATCCCGCCTGCACATGCACATAAAGCCAACGACGAGGGCGTGTACCACACGCACTCTCTCTCTCTCTGGACACAGAATCTGGAGCTTCCACCAAGCCTGGTGTTACAGGCTGGATCGTGTCCCCTAAAATGCACATGTTGAAGCCTTCATCCCAGGGCCTCTCATGACTTTATTTGGAGATAGGGTCATGGCCGATGGGGTCAATAGGGTGGGCTCTAGTTCACTGCGACCGGTGTTCTTAAGAAAGGGGACTCTGGACACAGACACAGATGAATACAGGGACAACGATGCTGAGACCCAGGCAGAAGACCCAGCGCCCAGCAGCCAAGGACACTGGCCCAGACCAGGTCCTGCCTAACTGCCCACAGAAGGACCTACGCGGACAACACCTCATCTCGGACTTCTGGCCTCCAGAACTCTGACGCCGTACCTCTGCCGTGGAACAGAGCGGCCTTGTTGTGCAGCCTGAGCAAACGAATCCACCTCTCAGCTCAGCCACTGCCCGGCTGCTCCCCCTTTACCACGGGGAGCGTGGTGTGCCCCGGCCCACGGGGTCGCAGGGCTGCGCGGGGACGCGGGGACGCGGGAGGCAACGGCCAGAGTGGCGGACAGGCGGGCCCAATTTGGCTCTCATCACGTCGCCTTCAGGAGCTTTCTGAGGCAGCTCTGCAAAGGCCGTGGCCCCCCACTGACCCCGCGGGGGGTGGGTAGCAGGGGATCGTGTAGGGATGTGGCCTCCCTGGCTCCTGGCAGCACCAGAGCAGGTCCCTTCCTGAGAGTGACGAGGCCGCCCCCCCCCCTCCCGGGGGCAGGGACCGGGGGCAACGTGCAGGCCCCCGGGGCCCACCTGTACCCCTTGACTCACCACCCAGTCTCGGCGTGTGATCATGGTTGTGATGATCTGGTACTGGAAGTACATGGGGATGAGCATCGGCGGCCCGACTGCGGGGAGAGCGGGGGTACTTAGAGGCATCCCGTCCCACCGCACCGGGCTGGTCAGTCAGGGGGAGCCCGGCGAGCGCTGAATTGGGGGCCCAGCTCCGCAGCTCCCAGGCAGAGGCAGCGACGTGTGCCCGAGGAGGGGTTGGGAGCACATGTCCCCCTCCCCCCCGCCGCCCCCTTTCCCTACCCAGGGGCCCCCGAGTGTGGGACCCTGGGCCTCTGGGTCCCGTCTGCACCATGTGCCAGGAGCAGCTTTCTCGGGATGGATGGCCCTTCCTGCTCAAACGGGCTCAGGGGCGATTCCTGGGTCTAAAGAGGTGGCAGGTGGTTGGGGGGGGACAGATGGCCGTTCTGGGGTGTGGTTGGAGGGCGGCCCCCAACACTCACTCAGGAGGAAGTACTCGTGCTGGTGGTTGTAAGGCAGGTATTTGAGCTTCTTCTTGCCGTACTGAGGAGAGAGAAAGAGAAGGTGAGCACCTGGCACCCCTCAGGCTCCAGCCACCCGGAGCACCCCCCGCCCACTCTGCGGTCACCGTTCCGGTCCTGTCAGTCCACACCCTGGGCCCTCAAGGCTGGGCCCCTCCGGCCCTCTGGTTCCTAGCTGCTCCGGCCAACACTGGCCACCATTTCCTCGGCCCCAGCTGAGGGCACAGACCCCGAGCTTTGTCCCATCCAGGCCTCGGCTCACGCCCTCCTCCGCCAGCCCACGAGCCTCGGGCTTTTGAAGCTGAGGCTCAGGGTCAAATCACTGCTCAAGGCCACACAAGAAATGGGCGCAGCTGGGATCTGAACCCAAGAAAGCTGACTCAGTCCACATGGCAGGCACCAAATAAATAAATGTTTGTGGAGTGAATGCACAACTGAACAACTCATATGGGGTCCCACCGAGGGAGCTCCTTGGCCAGTCTCCACCCCTTTGAGAGTGAGAAAAGCTCCCGGGGCACGCTGGGGAGCTCCCCAGAGCCCGCAGCAGCCGGGAGAACACAGATAAGGGCCTGGGGAATTGTTAATAGTCACCGGGCTGGGAGCATCTACCTCCCTAGAGCCCCCTGCAACTTTCCAAAGCTAATCACTTCTCCCAGGCAGATAGTTTTTAGTTGAGGATGCTGGCAGGCCGGGGACCCACCCAGGGTACCCTGGTGCCCAGAAAGTCACAGCGAGGAAGGCTGCACTGGGGCGTGGGCATCCTCACTGCACCAAGCCGCTCAGGCCATGCTGAGCACGAGCCTGTAGGGGAGTCACTGCCCCACAGGGTCCCTGGAGCCCTTCAGTGCTAGGGTCCAGCCTTCTGCAGACCAGCCCACCTTGCTCCTTGGGGACTGAGACCATAAGATATTGCTCAGAGAGTGACCTCCGCTCTTGCTTTCGGTGCCAAGATCTGCCAAGATCACCGGTACAGATCACTTAGCCCCTGCACCCCCATCCCATTCGGCACCCAAATCACTGGTTGTTAAGAGGAGCCGATGAGAACACAGCCAAAAACGCCGGGGGGCTGGCACCTGGGACACTGCCCCTCACTCGCCCTTCCCCAGATCCAGCCCTTTGCAGGTGCTCATTCCTACTTATTGTACTCAGGAGATGGAGACACGTTATGGATGCAGAGACCCCGGATGTTGGCTAAGCCAACGCCGCTGTCTGCAGGTGGGAGCGGAGAGGGTAACGACCGTCAAAATCGCAGGGCGGGCCCACGACGCCTGAAAGGTGGAGCCCTGGATGGGAAAGAAGCCCAGCTTGCCCCCAGGACCGGCGTCTTGGCACCAGAGGCCATGGTCACGGCCCATCTGGCCAAAGCACCACTAGAACCGACCCCTTTGTCCCGTGTGGCCTCCTGTGCTTTGACAGAGGTCTCACTCATCCCCAGAAAGTGTGGTCATTGGCACAAGGACGGTCACTAAGGCCGGGGCTGAGGCTGGCCTTGGAGAGGTCCTAGCCAAGGAGGCTTCAAAGGCAGCCTTGGAAGATTTCTCAGAGGAGGGAGTAGAGAGGCACCCACTCAGTGGCCTGTCGGGGTTCCAGGGAGCATATGGCCCCTGGATCCTGCTCTAACCTCCTCCCAGAAGCCAGGAAACAGACCCACAGGCCCAGCCTCTGTGTGCAGGCTTCTTGGCCCTGAACAGGAACCCTCCCTGCCACAGCTCTGCCCACGGGTCATCCCAGGAGGTGGCCCCAGGCCCCATGGACCCTCTCAGGCTGGTTAGACTCCTGGGAAGTGAACACTAAGGGCAGCTCAGACAGGTGGGCGGACCAGAGAGTTCCCATAGAAGGACCCAGGGGCAGCTAAGCTGCTGGGGTGGGGGGGAGGGGCACCAGGGGATTCATTTGAAGTTGCGTTCCCGTAGTAAGCATGCTGTTCCCATTGATTTATGGTGACCTCTGGGGAGCGACAGGTCCCACGCGCTGATGCTCTCCCAGCTGCCCCTGGCCCGTGGGCACTCCTGGCCCCCACGTGGGCCCCTTCAATGCTGCAGACTGTCCTGCAGCAGCTGCCCGGTCCCCGGCCTCTCTGTCAGACCCTGGGGGTTCCCAGGCTCAGGGACGCAAGGCCTCAGGATTCAGATACAATTCAGCATTTGAGCAAATTGCTCCACACACACCCTCCTCTGCCCCGCCATGAGCTGTGGGTCCCCGCCTCATCCAGTGCGGGTCTGATGGGCACTTCCCGGGGCTACTGAGGGACCGGCCAATGAGGCGGGCATCACGGTCCTTCAGGAACAGAACGGCGAGCTGCAGTCCCAGCAACGGGCACGGCTGTGTGTGGTGACACACCGAACCGTCACTGCACGTCTGTTCCCAGCTCGGTGACCTCAGGTGGGGCAACTAACTGCAAGGCCACCTGTCAGGGTATGGCTTGCCCACAGCACCCACTTTCCTCGGAAAACCAGAGAGCACATGCTCACTCTGACGATGCATGACTACCTTGCTGGCTCGGCTCTCTGCCAGTGTCTAGCCCCGTAAGTCACGGGCGCAGGGAGGGCTGGAAGGGGGCTTTAGAACGTACCGAGCTGGGGGGAGGGCTCCAGGCATCTCAATTCATCCGAAAGCTGGAGGGACCCAACAAGCCAGTTCCCTGGGGTCCAGCAGGTGGTGGCCCTGGGCAGGTTCTTGCGGAACCCAGAAGCCCTGGCTGGGAGCAAGACAGCCTGGGTTTGGGTGGTAGCACTGCCTTTTCCTGCTAGAACCTCAAGCAAGTTACTTCACGTCTCTTGGCCTTAGCCCTTCCATCCCTGAAATGGGCATGATGAGAGCCCCTGCCTCATGGTTAAGCAAAGGTGAAGTGACATCCTGCGTGCCGGGCCTGGCGCGGTGCTGGGTGCGCGGACTCGGTGAGAGTCTGCCCTCCTCCCCACACCTCCTCCCGTCCAGGAGAGTCCTCATCACACACAGGGAGAAAGCTCAGATGGCTGTCATAGGTGAGGCTTGGGGAAGACAGAGGGTGCTTTCACTCAGGCAAGGCGGCTTGTTGTGGTTGAGAGATGAAAATGGTAGCAGACCAACGGCTCCCTTTGACGCATTCCCAAGCGGTGGCTCACAGGGGACGCAAATCAGGGCGGAGGGAGGGGGAGCCCTCCCAACCCTGGTGGCCTGGTTTCCCGGAGGTCCCTGCCCCTTTGCCCGGGCTGGGCTGGCTCTCCTGTGCTCACCCTCTCCACAGACCCCTTTGAGAGTGAGAAAGGCATTGGATTGGGCCAGGCTTGGATTGCAGGCTGAGTGCATGCCAGGGGCATGTGCAGGGGACTTTTCAGCTTTGGAACAAAATGTCTGAGAATGACAAGGGCCTTCCTTGTCCCTTCAGGGTTGGGGGAGGGGAGCTGTCGCAAAGCCCAGTCCCCACCTCTGGGAACCCGCAAACTCCCGGAGAGAAATGAGCTACATGGCCAGGCTGGGCATGCGTAGAATGGCAAGGCCCCGGTCCACAGGCCCTGACAGGAGGGCCCTGGTTGTTCCAAGGGAGGACTGGTCCCTTGGCCGGTTCACAAAGAAGCCTGGAGGGTTGGCTGCAGACAGGCGGTGGGGCAGGGAGAGCGTCCCAGATAGGTGGAAAGGCAGGATCTCCGGGGAGGAGGTGCGGACACCCGTGGCTTCCGAAAGCCTGCCTCAGTACCACAGGGATAATGGCCTCCCCGTCGCCCTCTGGGATGTGGCAGACACATAAAGGGAGGGGCGAAGCCTGCCGCTGACTTCACCTCTATTTAATGCTGTTCCAGAAGCTCCAGAAGTAAGAGGGTGGAACTATGAGAAAGAGTGCCTTTTATTATTCTCAAGGATATAACTGTTTACCCAGGAAACTCAAAAGAGAACCAACTGAAAGACAACTAGGATCACAGAGAGGCCTGAGCAGACGCCAGCTGGACCTAAGCTACCCACCAAGTATCAACAGCTTCCCGGAACATTGGAGAAACACCGATCCCAATAGCCAAAGTAGGAAAGATCCAGGATTGAACTGGAAAAGAAACACCCACGAGACGTATAAAGAAAGGTATAAAACAGAATTTTAAGAGAAAAAAAAAAGAGGCTTGAGGAACTGGAGAAACAGGCCTTACTGCAGGATGGAAAGACAGAGTGTGAAGATGGTGACTTTTGCTAAGAGGGCTGCCGGCCAGTGATGAAGGGCCAGGGGTGGATGGGGGGCCGCCCGAGTCTCGCAGAAGACGCCCCCCATGAGGCTGACCACCCAGCTCGGGCGCGGGGCTCAAGGGGGCACACTGCCCCGCACAGATGGGGCCGTGCATCCTGATGGGGGTGCTGGGGAACCTGGCTGACTCCAGACAAATGAGAAGGATGGACACCAGCCTACCCACAGCACGTGTGGCCAAAGTTAAATACTTCAAAAGTGAAGCCACAAAAACACGGAAAATGATACAAATGGAGAACTTTCTTGGAGCACCTGGCTGGCTCACTTGGTAGAGCACATGACTCTCGATCTCGAGGTTGTGAGTTCGAGCCCCACGATGGGTGTAGAGACTACTTAAAATAAAATCTTAAAAAAAAAAAAGAATTTCTAAGCATGAAAGAAATTAAAGGAATCTGCAGGAGGGGGGAGAAAAGTGAATACCTCTTTCTACATAAAACAAACAGAATCCTCCCAGAAGTCATAAATAAGGCCAAAAGGCAGAGAACTCATGAGGAAAGGGATTTCGCTGTTGAGATTCCTCTACTTAATTTCTGCTTAGCTCTTTGGAGCTGGTTTGTTTACGTGGGCCTGGAGATAAGAGGCCTGGCCTCCTTGCTCTGGAGGCCAGAGGCTGGCTCAACACCCCCAAGGCCTGGCCACATGGGGCCAGGTGGGTGGCCCTGGTGTGGTGTGTGATATGTGGGCCTGGCAGGAGACAAGGCCGTCGGACCCACTGTTGCCCGGGTCCCTCCCAGGGCCGCAGCATGCTCTCGTGGACACCGGGGCACAGCTCGACCAGGAGCTCAGCAGATATCTGGCCTTTTCCCCCACACATGTGTTAAGAGTTGAGGATTTCCACAGGGTGGTCTTTCAAATGCTACTAGCAATGGGGTAACCAGGTCTCCGAAACCTCCCACCGGGCCCCGGCCCCAAAGCCGGCACTGAAGAGGTGTCTAGGGAGAGGAGGTGTTGGAAGAGGCTTCACTGGCCATGGCACAGAGCAGAAAGAAGCCTTCCTACCAGCAGAGCTGGTGAGACTAGACTTCTGGTGTTAGGGACACAGAGAACAACCGGCGGGACTCTCCAACAGGGAACCTCACGCAGAAAGGGAAGCCTTTGATTTCACTCAGCAGAAGGCCCCACGTTAATCAGCTGCATTATCTGGACACCTCTAATCAAAGCTAGCAAACTGCTTCCTAGAAGAAAGAGGCAAGCAGCACGTACTTTGGAAGGGAATATAATCCCTGCCTGGCTTCCCAAGTACTAAATGTTGGCTAATTTCCTCTGCTATGGCCACATGTTGCAGAAAACCCATGTTTCTGCTCAGATATTCTCTTGGGTGGAACTGAGATGGGAAAGACAGGGTACAAACTAGAACTGGAGGGACACCCTCTCTCCTCTCCTTGTTCCAAGCCTCGGATGCCAACACTGTCAGGAACACACCACTGGTGGGAATCCGGGACCCTGCTCCTTCCTCAATGGGCCTTGCTTGACAGATGCTTACTGAGCCCCTCCTCTGTGCCCGGCACTGGGATGCTTACGAGCTGTACAAAAGCAACAGGATCTTCTAAACTTGGGCTTACCTCATCACTGAACTTCCAAAAGGCAAAGCATAGGTAGATTTTTTGGTAAATTAAACCCTAACATAAAGGCTGTCCCATGAGGGCTCTACTTTCTAAAAAAAAAAAAAAGGTGTTTAAATGAGGGCATTCTTTAAAGGCATTGGGGGTGATTTTATTAAAAAGCAATTAAGAATTAGCAACAAGTTTCCTATCTTACAAAACAGCATGGGTTACATGATGCTACAGAAATACAACGGAGCACCGGACAGACCCAGGCAAAGGCCAAATCACTTGGACTCCCAGAAAGAGGTCTGTGTTTGGTAAGGCGGCAAGTTGCAGGACAGAATGCTTAAGTTTTAATTTTGGTTTTTAAAATGAATATGTGCTGGGGTGCCTGGGTGGCTCAGTCGGTTAAGCGTCTGCCTTCAGCCAGGTCATGATCTCAGGGTCCTGGGATCGAGCCCCCGTTGGGCTCCCTGCTCAGCGGGGGGTCTGCTTCTCCCTCTCACTCAGCCCCTCCCCCCTGTTCATTCTCCCTCTCTCTCTCAAATAAATAAAATCTTTAAAAATAAATAAATAAATACAAAATGAATGTGCATATGAATATGCACATAAAAGAAATCTGGAAGAATTTATGTACCATGTTTTCATCGGTGGCTACCCTCAGGGGTATGATCTTTGGGGCAAAGGGGGATGATGGAGGTAATAGGAGATTCACTTTGTGATTTTGTGTATTTCTAGTAATATTTAATTGCTTGTCACAGGTAAATTCTATATTTATACTAAAAATTGAACTAACATAAAAATAAGGCAGTGTGCTAGAGCAGAAGGAAATGACCTCACTCTCAGATCCGGGGCTTCATCCTAGACTAGCCGCTAAATTATAGGATCCTGAACACATCCCCTCCTTCCCCGGAGCCTCCCTTTGTCACATCTGGTGAAGCAGGTTGGACCAGACTACGCTGAGGTCCCTCTCAGCATCGAGGACTGTGACTCTCCCAATAAGGTTTCCTTGAGCTGGTGTTTGGGGACCACACTCGAGCCCCGGACCTGTGCCTGCCTGCTGAACCGGGACCAGAGTTCCCTGGCCCCCAGGAAGAAACAAGCCGGGAAATGTTCTTCCCCAGCCCATGGGAGGGAGAGAGGCCTCTAATGCTGATAAGGAGCTGGTTCATTATTCATACATGAGGCCATTCCATCGAAATTCCAGCTTGAATAATTCAGGGCGTCCAGGAAGGGTTTCCAGGTAAACATCAGAGGCAGATGTGTTTGGATGACTATCCAACCTCCAGGATTCCTTCCCTGGTTCCAGCTCAGGTCAAACACTCCCCACGTCAACACTGTCCCTTCATCATACCTCAATGGGCTGCGATTCGCCCAGGACGAGCACGTGCAGCATGTTCACATCGGGATCCTTGTTGAAGATGTTGGGCTTGGCGTGATGCTGGAAGTGGCGATGGTTCCACCAGTTGGCGGAGGCACCCTGGGTGGGGGGGAATGGGGTGAGCAGCGCCGAGACTCAGAACCAACTTCCCCATCACACCCGGGGCCTCGGGCCCCCGAGCCTCCGAAAGCAGCCCGGCCAGTACTGAGTCCAGAGTGCTGGCCAGCCCTGAGGCCAGGACTTGTGAATGGAGCCAAGCCAGGCCATCCCTCCATGTTTCCCCATCCCCCACAGCAATGGCGGCGAGGCCAGCTGGTGCCAGAGCTCATGGCAAGCACCTTGGCTGGTGTGGGGTGGCCTCTGCCCTCTGCCAGCACCAGGTGCGAGCCCCCACACCCCTCAGTCTCCGCACGTCCCCTGAGTGCCGTGTTATACAAGGAACGGTAAGAGAGGGTCTCTACTACATGGCCCAGGACTCCACTCCTAGGTGTGTACCCAAGAGAAATGAAAGCATGGCCACACAAAATCGTACACCAACATTCTCATTACTCAAAATGACCAACAGGTGGAAACTGTGTGGCCATGCCACAGAAAGGTGGGAAGCACCTGCTACAACGTGGACGAAACTTGAAAACATCCTGCTGAGTGAACGAAGCCAGACACAAAGGACCACATATGGGATTCCATTTATAGGAAATGTCCAGACTAGAGAATCTAGAGATAGAAAGGTTAGTGGCTGCCCAGGGGTTAGGGTTGGAGACACGTGGGAGGGATGAGGGGGTTGGGAGGTGGCAGCTAAGAGGTGTGAGGTTTCTTTTGGGGATGATGAAGATGTTCCCAAGTCGATTGTGATGATGGTTGCATAAATCTGTGAATATTCTCTAAGCAGTTGGCAAGAGACAACCCAACAGCCAGATCAGTTGCTGCCCTGAGCGGTGAGGACTCAGTGAGGTCCCACCCGGAAGGCCAAAGGAAGGCTTAATAAGCCATTGCTAACAGGAACAGGGACAAGCTCCCAGGTTCTAACATGAAAATATAAAACCATGATTCTAGGAGACAGGAAGCATTGCCTGAGTATTTATTTCAAAGTCACAAAGCTCTGTCTCACCAACTCAAGCTCTCGACACAGTTCGGAGGCATGTCTCTCCCCAAAGTTGCCCTGTGGCACATAGAAGGAAATGGGACCCTTCCGACTCTTCACTCTTTACTGGTGAACTACTGCTGGATCAATCAACCCTTGGGCCCAGGGTCTGGCCATCCACAAAAAGAACTAACTGCTAAAACAAACATTTTACTTGGAAGATCCTTTTAGCACAAACAAGGTCTCCGGACACGGAGAGGCCTGGGCAGGCACAGGTGTGGCCCTTGCCTGTAGCACGTGGGTCTCAAAACCCATCAAAGCGGGGGAAAAAAAAGTCAGTGAGTGAGGGCTCAGAGGACTGAGGACTCAGATGACCCATTCACCTTTCTAGCCGGAAGGAACCCCACTCCTGGGAAAGGTCACATGGAAAGTCCCCAACACAAAGAAACTGAGGAGCAAGTCATGTTAAGAGTGGGCAGATGTTTAGAATACACCGATCCAGGGATGTTTGTGGAATAAATGAAGGAAGGAAAGAGAGATGAGCTGTGAACGCCCCGGTGATGAGTCAGCGAAGGGAGGCCGTTTCGCTCCCTCTGGACAGAGCTAGTCCTCCAGGGGGGTTCTCTTCCATTCTTCACTAGGCAGAGCCCTACTTAGTCTTCCCACCCAGAAGCCCTGCCTGCCCTGGGATGAGGAGCAGCCCTGGGGATGAAGCGGTGATCCAGAGGCAAGCCCTTGGCCTGGCAAGGGGGAGTAGGGCACCCCAGCACACTGAGATGGGGCCGGGAAAGACAAGCAAACCTGGGGGAGGAGAGGGGGCCAGGCAGAGCGAGAGTGAGCGGTGCCTTCCTGACAGAGGGAAGAGGCCGGGCGAGGGCCTCAGGGGCCGGGGAAGGGGCAGTGTGGACTGCTCCAGAAGCCAAAGGCCCCTTGGTTGAGCCGAAGACCCAGGATGGCAGCCAAAATCCTGAGCTAAGCCCTATCAGAGCCCGAGGGAAATCGAAAAATGTGTACTCCTGGCTTGAATGGTCACAAAGGCATCAACAACAGTTTCCGAATCGACTTTTTGGTTTGTCTCATTTTCAAATGAGAGAATTGCCAAGTTGGATGGCTTTTCTCCACCAAGTGACAATCTTAATTTAAAAATTAAAAAAAATTTTTTTTTAGGGTGGGAGGGGCAGGGGGAGAGGGAGAGAGAGAGACTCTCAAGCAGACTCCCCACCCAGCACGGAGCCCGACATGGGACTCAACCTCCCGATCCTGAGATCATGACCTGAGCTGAAACCAGGCTGCCAGTAGGAAGCAGGTCCCAGCCCCTCAAGGCGCCTGGCACCCCATTCTCTGCTCCCCACCAGCTTGTGCTAGGACACTCGAGGTGGCAGGGCACCTGGGCACCTCCCTGCAGCCAGCCCCTTTTTTCCCAGCAAAGGGAAGCCAGGAGAGCAGATAGATCCACAAGACTTGTCTTGCAGCTGTGTGGCTATGGGGTGCCAGACTGCTTGCAGCCAAGCTGTGAGGCTCCAGGCTCTGGGGCACCCTAGGGTGAGCTACAGAACTGTGCCCCCCGGCCTACACATGGCAAGAAGGACACAGCAAAGCAGACAACTGGCCAGCCATGAGTGCAGCCCCCGTCTCTGACCTCTAACCTCTGGGCCCAAGTACCCTGTCTTCCCCCATCCCAGAGTTCTGACGTCATTAACCCACATTCTCCATGGAGGCCAGTCCTCTGTCCTGGCCTCATCCTCCGTCTGACACAAGAGCTGCGCTCCAAGGCCCTGCGAAAACTGGGGGATGTGAGGCAGGAAAGGCCGTCCCGGCTTCCACCCAGAATCTGGATACGGGACACAGCCCATCTCTGTTAAGCGGGTGGGGATAACGTGGGTCGGGAGTGAGATGTTACTTTCCAATACCGAGGAGGGTTTTATCCAGCAGACAAGAGTATGAAATGAAACAAAGCGCTCTACTATGCACACCCGCTCCCTTCAGCCCTGAATTTCTGGACAGAAACCAGGTTCTCAGGCCGCCTCAGGCTCAGGGCCAGGCAAGCTGCAAGGGAACCGGTTCCTAGTTCAGCGCTGGTTCGCCCCCAACCAGATCCGGGGCCCACAAGCCATGGGCTCTCCGCAGTCTGGGTTGAAGGGAGTGGGTGTGCATAGTAGAGTGCTTTGTTTCAAAGACGGGGTACTTGGGCCCAGAGGTTAGAGGTCAGAGACGGGGTATATGCTTAACCCAGACAGGTAGCTCTTCCCAAGCCAGAGTGAGGCGGGGTGGTGGGATTCTTTAGGACCCAGCCTTTCTTAGGAAGCAGCTGGGTGCTTCTGGGAAAGGGCCGAGCGGGGGATGATCTGTTTCAGAACGAGCCGGCAAGGACTTATTTCCAAAACCAAGGAGATAAGCCAGTCGGATGAGTCCAAGGTCGCTGGCAAGTCCAGCCTGTCTTCTGATGAACTTGCCTCGCTGTAACGCTTTGTGGGGCGACCTCCTCAGCGGCAGGGGGGAAGACAGGAACTATTTCCCCACGAGCCTTAAATACAACTCTGGTCCTGTGGCTCAGCTGATCATTGTGCTCTTTCATGTCCCTTATCTAAAGACTTCCGCGACAATATCTCTCTTTCAGACTAAGAGGGACTTATTAGAAAAGTTTTTAGGTAACGAGTAAACAATATCAATATCATCAACTGAGTCAATGTACAAAGGCAGTGTGCACCTGTCCTCATAACCAGCATGCTGCTTTTGCTGGTCGATTTGATACGGAGACAGGGCTGGGAAGGTCAGAGGAGGGGAGGATTCGAAAACCCCAGCAGGAAGGCCTGGCTCCCCGGCGTACCCGCCGTGTTACCCTGCGGCCACAGACACTGACCCGAGAGGAGACTTGGCCCCGGGCAAAGTAAGCCAGGGCCGAGCCAGCTGCTAATTGATGGGCAGACACCCAGGGCTGCCGGTATTTACCTTTAAGTGGCCAATGATGAACTTGTGGACAACGTGGTTCCATGCGGACTTCTTGAAGACAGACAGGTGGCCATAATCGTGTTGCAGCCATCCAGCTTGGGCCTGGGGAAAGAGATGCTTTCACAGAGCCAGCTTTCAAGCGTCCCCAGCCTCTGCGAGCTAAGGGGGTGGGGGGGTTAGGGTGGGGGCTTTAGGCGTCCGATGAGGGTGCCCCACCTCACCTGAGAGGTAGCAAGGACAAAGGCTGTGATGATGGTTGGAATCCAGCCATTGCCAAAGTAAAAGATGATGAACCAGGCAATGCTCTCCAAGACGATGATGTGGGCCAGGAGAAGGAGGAAGAACAGGTGGTTACTCTTGAACAGGTTCATGTCCTCAGCGGCCTTCCTCAGGGCCCGGAAGTCCTCGGTGATCTGGGACTGTTCAGCAAGAGCACAGGGAAGGTGTTGGCCACTTAGCTGCGCTGGAGGGGACCAATGTCTTCTTGCCAGGAGAAGCGGTGGCAAGAGGGGCCGCTCCACAGGCCTGTGACCCGAGGAAGCCCAGCCACCACGCATCACACCCGCCACACCTGCCTGGGCCTCCACAGCCCTGAGGCCTGCACATTTGGCCCCAGCCAGGTAGGTGGCAGAGAAAGGATTCGACTCAAAAGCCAGTGTTTTGCACACCACGTTCACAGTGGCATTACTCCCAAGGCACGAGGCAGAAACAACCCAACTAGCCATCAATGGATGCATGGCTAAAGAGAATGTGGTCTATCTGCACAATGGAATGCTATTCAGCCTCGAAGAGGAAGGAGAGTCCGACACCCGTTACTGCAGGGATGAACCTTGCAGACCCCGTGCTCCGTGAAATTAAGCCAGACACCACAGGACAAATACTGAATGATCCCATGTACCTGAGCTACCTAGAGTAGGCAAATCACAGACAGGAAGTGGAGTAGTGTTCACCGGGGCTGCAGGGAGGGAGAGATGTTTAATGGGGAGTTAATGTTTAATGGGGACAGTTATAATTTGGGGTGATGAATAAGTTCCGGAAGTAGATGATGGTAAAGTTTGCATAACAATGTGAATGTGCTCCCATGCCACCAAACTGTGCATCTAAAACTGGCTAAAATGGTAAAATTTGTGCTATGTATACCACACACACACACACACACACACACACACAAGCTCGCACTTCTCCACTACCCAGCCCTGCCCCCACTTGCTCTGGGCACTCTGTCGAGGGGGTTGTGGTGGGGGACACAAGACTGCCGGATGACATCCCTGCCCCTAGGGAGTTCAGGGAGGCAGGACCACTGGGTGGGCCTTGGGGATGTGGAGCCGGGAAAGCCAAGGTGGAGTCGGGGGCAGCTCTGGAGACATGAGCATGGCTGGGCGAAAGAAAGCAGCTGGGAGGCAGGGGTCAAGCAGGTGGGGGGGAAGAGGGTGCTTTGAAAGGGTAGACAGGGTGCCATGTGGGGGGAGGAAGCCAGGTTTGGGAGCCCGGGTGATAAGTGGCAAAGGATCTGAAGAGTGGCTAACACCCGTTTAAGTTGGGAAAGCGGGGAAACCAGGTAGGGGCCAGGAAGGCAGGGTCAGGAAGGCGGAAGCCCACATGACACCGAAGAGAGGCGAGAAGCTGCCTGCCTCCAGGGGGGCTGGGGAGGGCGGAGGGTGGAGCCGTGGGTGAAGGAAGCAGGATGGAAACCCAGGTCAGCTCCAGGGAGGGGTGAAGACAATCTCCCCCCTCAGCCTTGGGGAGAAAGGGGAGGGGCAGAGACGGGGAGAGCCAGGGGAAGGGATACATGGAATGGGCTGGATTTCCCGGGAAGGAGAGAGAAAACGGTGGGAGGACGGGACCAGAAGAGAAGACCCTGGGCCCAGCCTAACTCTACTGACACCACGGACGTGAAGAGGCTGGGAAAGAATCACTCCAAGGTAAGGGGCCAGCCTAGGCTGGCCGCAGGAGGAAGAGGCTCACTGCAGAATCTCAGAGTCCTGCCTAACCCCAGGCATTGGGCGGTGGCTCCCTTGGACTGGCATAAAATTCCCTTGGCCCACACCTGGCACTCTGTCTTTGGGTGGGCACCCCCTCTCCCTGCAAACCCTCCCCTCCTTCCTTGGTCTGGGCACTCACGTTCTTGCCCCGGTCCTGGCTGGGCTCCTCCGGAGCCAGCTCTCCAATCAGCAGAGGCTTCATGAACTTGCGCACGAAATCAAGGTCACGGTGGAAGGCGAGGAAGGCATCCTAGGGAGCAGGGAAGCAGGTGGTAAGTGGGAGACCTCAACCCAGGGAGGGCAGGGCTCACCAGCAGCCGCTCTCCATGTCCCCACTTGGGACACTGAGCGAGGCCTCCCGGGACCTGGCCCCAAATGCTCTCTCCTGCCTCATCTCGGCGGATCCCGTGGTGCCCGGCCAAACCGGTGCTACCCCTGGGTCTCCACCCTCAGCTCACCAAGGGTGTGTGCAGACATTCAGGATGCCTCCGGGCGAGTCAGAAAAATGTACCCCTGAAGGGAGATGCACAGACTGGGCAGGGCACCCAGGAAACCACACCACCCGCCACCCCATGCACATGGTTTACAACGAAAAGCACAGGGCTGGAGCCCACTACACAGAAAATGTGCTTGGGAGATCATGTCAAGCCAAAACCAAATACAGAACTAGGCAAAAAACACGTCTGACAAAAGCTTTTTCATAATTAGAAAAAGCATGAAAATAATTACGAAAACGATGAAGCCCTAAACGGTTATGTGTTAAGGTAGTGGCATTATGCCTTGCTTTATTTTATTACTTCTCAAACTTTCTCTAATACTGCTGTATTATTGCTTTTAAAATTTAAAAAGTAGGGGCGACTGGGTGGCTCAGTCGGTTAAGCGTCTGCCTTCTGCTCAGGTCATGATCCCGGGGTCCTGAGATCGAACCCCATGTCGGGGCTCCCTGCTTGGCAGGGAGTCTGCTTCTCCCTCTGCCCCTGCCCCCTGCTCATGCTTGCTCTCTCTCTCGAATAAATAAAATCTTTAGAAAATATTTATTTTAAATATTATGTAATAATATTATTATTGTAGGGGCGCCTGGGTGGCTCAGTTTGTTGGGCGTCTGCCTCCGGCTCAGGTTATGATCTCGGGGTTCTGGGATTGAGCCCCACATCGGGCTCCCTGCTCCGTGGGGAGTCTGCTTCTCCTTTTCCCTCTGCCTGCCGCTCCCCATGTTTGCACTCTCTCTGTCAAATAAATAAATAAAAAATCTTAAAAAAACAATATTATTATTGTAATTCCAATTACAAAGTTATAATGTGCTCAATTTGGGCAAATTTAGAGAATGTACAGAAGAATAAAGAGGAAAATAAATACCACCCAGAGAGCGACCACCATTGCTAATATTTTAGCTTGTTTCCCTCTAGGTTCTTTTCTATATGCATTATGTAAATTATTACATAAATCATCTCATAACCAACATGGCATTTCCATTAGGGATGAGCAGACATCATGGGCTACAATATGACGACCCAGTGGCAAACGTTTACCCAGCAGTGAGCCAAACTTTCACACATTGCAGGACAGAGGACGAAGTCAAATGACACCACGAGAAACCATGAGAAACATCAACGTAGTTGGGGGTGGGAAGTGTGTGCGTGCGTGTGTATGTTGGGAGGGAGTGTTTAGCTTTTAAAAAGCTGAAAAAAGGGGCGCCTGGGTGGCTCAGTCGTTAAGCGTCTGCCTTCGGCTCAGGTCACGATCCCAGGGTCCTGGGATCGAACCCCGCATCAGGCTCCTGGCTCAGCGGGAAGCCTGCTTCTCCCTCTCCCACTCTCCCTGCTTGTGTTCCCTCTCTCACTGTGTCTCTCTCTGTCAAATAAATAAATAAAATCTTTAAAAATAAATAAATAAAAAAATAAAAAGCTGAAAAAGATAAAACAAAAAGATTATTAAAAAGGCAGTGCTTGATTTGAAAGTCTCCTATTTGGAGGGGGAAAAAAAAATAAAGACCCAGCCGTTCCACAGGTCATTTTTGGGGTTGAATGAGAAAATTTGAATATGGACCACATATCTGGTCATAGGAAGGACTTACTGTTCATTTTCTTAATCGCAAAGAAGGTATTGTGATGATGTTAGACCATGTCCCCATTCTTAGGAGCAGGTGGTGAAGAATTGAGGGACGAGGTGGCTCATTTCTCAGCCAGCATCTGCTGCCCTACCTCACCCCACCCCCAAGTGTAGGTCATGCCCTCAAGGCCCCGCCTGGGCTGGGGAACTTGGTGGAGCAGAGGGACAGACAGACAGACTCCCATCCTGACCCAGGCCATTCTTTGGCCATTTCCAGAGGGCTCTCGGGTGGCCTCTCACCCCCCCCCATATGACAGGGAGGGAGCCAGGAGCCTTGTTTACGCTCCCTCCCCGAAGGCTGAGCACCCTGTGGTACAGATGAAGACACCGGAGCACAAGAAGGGGACATCCTCTGCTCCAAGTGCAGAGCCAGGATCAAATCCAGTTTCGCCTGACTCAGGGACTGCTGCACCACATCCCTCCTGCCCGCTGAGGAAACCAAGTGCTGTTAGATTGCCTGGCCGTCCCTGGTAGATCTGACGGCTTTCTGAGCAAACCAGGTTAAGAACACCTGTGAACCCACCAAACTCATGCTGATGCCAGGACCCTAGCACGGCGCTTCCTTCTGCCTGGGAGCTCTGCTCCCAGGGCGCCCCGTGGCTGGCTTTTCCCAACCACCCCCCAGCCCCACACTCTCTCTTGGACATTGCCCTGTTTTGCCTTCTTCATAACAGTTACAAATTCACAAGCTATATTACTTCCATATGTGTCATTCTCCCCCCCACTAGACTATGCTGAGCTCCACAAGGGAAGGGCCACAGCCGTCTTGTTCACTGCAACCCCAAGGCTTACGACCATGCTTAAGAGGGGCTTACAAGTGAATGTGAGTGCCCAGGATCCCACAGATCTGCCGCCTCGAACCCCAGGAAACTTTCCCCCTCTGCAATCATGTTCGACCCTTCTTGCGCTGTTTTGTGCAACTGGCTCATGCTTCTAAGACACCAGAACTCTCCACCCTCTCCCACCGCAGTCTGGGGTTGCAGAGTTGCCACATGTTGAGGCATGTACCTTAGCCACTGAGCTACACTTAGGTGTACATAAGCGCTAACCTTTACCAAACTCTAAGGCGGGTCCTATTTTAGAGACAAGAAAAGAGACTGAGGGAGGCGAAGTTGCTAGCCTGCAGTCACGTTGCCGGTGTGCCTACTTCTAGAGTTTTCCAATGTTCATACACATGCCTCAATCAAAACAAGCTTCCTCCCCGCTGAGAGTTGAGCACTTTTTGTGTCTTCCCCTTCAAAGCGTCACGGAGGGACCTCACACTCCTACCGAAGGTTCCCAGTAACTGTTGGGTTATAGAAGTGTCTGGCTGGTGCTAGGGACGTCACCAGGTAAGGCAAGAGGGGGCCAATCCAAACGTTGACTTTGGGAACAAGAATTGGAACCAGAATCTGTCCTCACTTGTCAGGAAGAGAAGCCAACGGCTTTCCAGGAGGGCCTGAGACAAGGGTGAAGAGAAAGGAGCAGCAACAGCTTGAGAGCAGACTGGACCTGTCCTCAGGCGGGCAGGTGTGTGGGCTGCAGGGTGGGAAGGGCAGGCTGCTGGAGGAAGGGCCAGAGATCCCAAAATGGAAGACCCCGTATGCCGCACTTCCTGCTTCCGCCCCCCCCCCCCCAGCGCCAACGCCAGCCAACTTCTTCATGAAGACGCCTTCCCTGGCCCAACCCCACTCAGGGTAGAGCTCGTGGCTCCTACCACACCGAGGGTTGGGGGCCATGATTTGTTTCCAGCTGTGCCCACCTTCTCTGCAGAGCAGAGCTAGTCTCCAGGCCAGCCTCATACACCTGGGCACTGAGCCTGGGCCCAGGAAACATGGGAGGAGCAAACTCAGGGCATTCCATGTCTCAGGTAGCAGCCCTGGGGACCAGGACTCCGCAGAACAAGGGGTTAAAGAGGGAGAAGCTGAGGAAGTACCCTGAGTTCTCAGCTAGAGACAGAGTCACTGACGCCCTTCCCATGGTGGAGCCCCTGGACCGTGGCGCATCCCACGGAAAGGAAGAGGCTGTGGGCCGAGCTCTGTGACCACAGCGTCCTCGATGAGAGCATCTCAGCTGGTATCTGGCACACGCAAGGCCCCGGGGGTGGGAAGGGCACATCTACACAGAAGGTAGGCGCAAGTGACAGCAGAGGAAACCCACGGGGCCTGAGAGGATTCTCACAAAGGGTAAGCAATGGGAGGATGCTTCTCTGGGTGCTTGCCTGAGGCTGCAGTCAGCGGGGGGCCAGCCTGCCCTGCCCAGATCCCGCTCAGGAGGTACAGCTGCCTTCTGGGCAAAAACAGAGGAGCGATTTCATGCGCCGTCAACACCTTTCCCTTTGGTGAAAATGAAACTCATGCTGATGCCAGGACCCTAGCACGGCGCTTCCTTCTGCCTGGGAGCTCTGCTCCCAGGGCGCCCCGTGGCTGGCTTTTCCCAACCACC